GTAAATTTTATTAAATTTACAATACACATACTATATGTTAATATAAATTCATGTATATATATATATATATATATATATACACATATATATATATAACATATATGCAGTGTAATTATTTTATTAAAAGAGAAAGTTTACTAAAATATTGTTATACCATACATGTACATAATATATTATGTAGGTATATATAGATAATAGTGAATATATTAAACAATTTTTAAGCCTCCAATGTACCATAAATAAAATGGACAAAGTCATTAGTGCAATTAAATTGATATTTTTAGTTCTTTATATATCCGTAGGGAATTTTTTTTTTTTTTTAATACAATATATAACATATAAAAAAAAAATATACTATTTTAACCATTTAAATAAAAATTTTTTAATGTTATACGCTATTTGTACATATATATCATGTATATTAAATTGTACTGTACATGGTACAAAAAATATATATATATAATATAATATATAGTACATTCTATTTTATAATTTATTAGAAATATATTTGCGTAGATAATACCACTAAAACGTTACACTATGCTTTATAAACTATTATATAATATATATACTATATATACCATATATATAATATATATACTGCATATATATAATATACTATAATATACTGTATATATATACTATATATACCATATACATATATAATATATATACTGCAATATACTATGGTATTGTTATAATAATATATATACAGGGTGATTTAATAATGAGTACAATATTATATAGACAAAAATGTGTTTGTTTCGAACTATATATCAAATATCAAATTCCAATAGTTTTCGAGATACTGCGCGATTTTAATTAATTTTAACGAAAATTTTAATTGCCAAAGCTTTTTTGCTTATATAACTTCCTTTCTATAAAAAATAGAAGTAACAAACAAAGAGTTTTTAAAAAGGCTAACAAAGAGCTTCAAATCGACATAATATATGATTTTGTGTTTTAATTACTTTCGGAAAATCAAGCATTCTAATTTTAGAAAAAAAAATCAAATTTTATTCCTTTTTTTTATTTTTTTTAGTTTTCTCTAACCCTACAATTTTGCACGAAATTTTTGGAAACTGTAAAATTTTTTTTTACAGAATGTTGCCTAGTTTCTTAAGCTTTAATTTAAATCATTAAATGTTTAAAAAATCTTTTACAATACAAGAAATATTGCAAAAAGAAAATCTTCAAGATTTTAAAGATGTTAATAAAATGCATAATTTCACCGGCGTTTTCGATTTGATACCCTAAACGATTACATTTATTACTGAATCACCCTATATATTAAGAGTTAATGAAAACTGATCTATTTATCTAAAAGTTATAAATATAAGATATTTGAGAAATATTTATATTATTAATAATAAATTAAGAAGAAGAAGATGAATTAAAAGTTTTATATTTCATCTTCAGGTACTTACCTACCTACCAATAAACTATTATTAATTAAGTTGATGTAAAATTACCTCAACATAAAATTTATTAAAGATGATGTTTTATATATGGAAGTTTACAATATAAATATAAAAAATTTATTTTGCGATTAAGAGTACCTACAAAATATATATAGAAAGTTATAGAAATTAATAAAACTAAATCTAATTATAATATGAAATATGATTGATTATTCGGAAAATTTTAATTTGATTTCATTAGGATTAATATGGGTTATTCTTCTGAAACTGCTGTTAAAATTTTTCGATACTGATTTTTTGTTATATTTTAAGAATTTTCTGAAAAGTATTCATTCTATTTTCGATATTTTAAAAAAGTTTGAATAATTGTAAACAGCTGAATGGCAAGAGTTCAACGAGAAGTTCTACTGAAGAATTAATTGAAGTGCATCTCCATAATAACATTATCAATGATTTAATTCAGAAATCACTGAAATAATATATTCTGTATTAATATAGACATAAACACTAAGATGTATCTTCCTCTTACAAATTTATAACAATTGGATTTTGAATTTTTATATTTTTGAAGAATTGATTTTTTAAGGTATCCTTGCCCGATTAATTTAAAATTCTCTTCCGTTTTATTCAATTTAATTTTCGGAAAATTGATATTTGATTTTACATGTTCAATTCCTGTAATTGAGTCCACATTATATGTGGATTGATCTTCTTTTTTTTTCTCAAATAATTTATTCAAATTGCCTTGAGTTATTTGTTTGAGTTATTGAAAGAAATTGCAAGCAAATATGAGATTAATTGAAATCTTTAAATTTTTTCAATATCCTGAAATTTATTAATCTTCGATTTCTATATCTTATGTTACTATACAATTATAGAATACCTGGGCCCTATTTTAATAACCACTTTTTATTTTTTTTAAGCAATTAATCAAAAAAATCTAAAAGTTTCAGTTGTATCAGGAGTCAAAACACTAAAAATTAAAAGCACTTGGTGCAGTAAGGTCCTGATAATATTAAATATTATAAAATCATAAAAATATTTTACAAAAATATTAAAAATTTAAAAATTTTTCAATTCTTCTATAAAACAAAAATTTAATTTTCGAATAATTTTTATCTTTAAATAAGCTTAAATTCCTTTCTTTTAAGATATTGAAACTCTTATCATAAAATGGACTCATAACAAGCTTTAAAATTCTCTGCTTTATTTTAGTTGAATTCTTTTAAAACAACCTTGGCATTTGTGGATATGGCATGGCTAAAGTATTTGAAACAAGGAAGAATTTAATTTTACTCATATTTCTAACAAAAAAACAAATATTTTTCTTCCCTTAAAATGTTTTAACGTAATATTTACGATTTGTCTCTTTAAGAAAAACCAAAAATAATCTACTAATAAAAATGACCAAAATAAAAATTTTATAAAAATGAAAAATGGCATTCCATTAAATTGTTTTTGTGTCACTTTTCATTTTTTAAATGTTTAAAAGAGAAACCATAAGAAAAAAAAAAGAACGGAAAGTTCATCATATTTCTACCGTTAATTCTACTGTTATTATTTTTATTATCCTTTGTATTTCATTTTATGTTTGTTTGTTTGTGTTTTTTGTTGGTATGATTTTTGTTACGAACTCCGTCATTATTGTTTACCCACTTTATGTTATCCATATTAAATATTTCTTCTTTGTTTTGTTATTATGTAATTTTCATTATCAGAATGTGACAATAAATCCAGGATAATGCAGAGTTTATTTTATTTTTTTTTGTTCTTCTTTCTTTTTTCAGTTTTTTTTTTTTCAATTTTAATCTTTAAAGACAAATATATATGAAGGAAAACGGAAATGGTGTATATTATAAAATCTGTTAAATTTTTTTGAAAAATAAACATGTGTATTACAAAGGCAAAGTATTCATTTTATTATCCTTGCCAATATTAAGGATATTTTGTGTATTTCGGTCTAAAATTTCTTTAAATTTTCCATAAATTTCTTTTCAACAATCACTTCTTTTTCTGATTCGCAATAATGGCTTATTATTACCGCCCCACCCCCTCTTATTCCAAGTTACTGCAATATTTGGGTCAAACAATATGGATTTACTACGAATTTTGATTTCATATGCCTTTTATTAAGCTATTAAAGCAAATTTTTTTATATTTTATTTAATTATCTAGCGTAAAAAATATTATGGTAAGAATAAATCTCTTAAGAAAAATGTCTGATCTTATCAAATACAAAAATCATTTTGGTATTATAATTGAAAATTCTACTATGTATTAATACACATTTGAAATTCTATATGATCTCATGAGATTTTGAACAAAATATTAAGATTGACGATGGTTTTTTGGTTATCGTTTTTATTTTTGTATGTTTTTTTATAATTTTTTAAAAATTTAACAAGTTCCCTATAGTATTTTCGTTATTTTTATGATGATTCAAATGAATTGTTTGTAAGTTGTATATATGATTGATTGGTATGTTGGAATTTTTGGCATTTTTTAATAAAATTCACAAGTTATGAGAAGTTATTAATATAATGTATGTAAGTAGATATAGATTAGACAGGTTCAGTTGGAAGTTAAATTTAAGATAATTTTTATTTTCTTAATTTTAATTTACTCTACCTTCATTTATCTTATATGAAATTTTATTTAATTTTATTTAATAGCACTAATGAAAGTAAAAGGAAAAATTGGTGGGCATTATATTAATTAAGGTAAAGAAAAAAATTGAAAGAGCACTTCCTTACAATTTTAGATGAAATTTAAAGAGCACCTACTTCACCTACTTACAATTTAAAATGAATAAATAAAAAAATAATAATGAATCTTAAAAAAAGTAAAGAGAAAACTATAAAAAATGTTTATACGCTTCTTAAAATGTCGTTCGTCTATTTCTTAGTAAATTTTTAGCAAAACAAATTTTATCTTTCGTTATTTAATCATGGTCATCCTCCCGGTTTCTTTTTTGAAACATGATACATGCATACATATCATAATATATCGACACAATTATTCCCTGGGCTAGTACAGAATGGTTTAATATGAACGTTAAATCAAGTGCAAGCATTTACGCAACTACGTATAATGAAAATAAAAGAAATTACATGAAGTGGCCACAAGGCAAGATAAATCAGATGATAAGGCAATTTCATTATAATGTCATTTAAAATCATGTAAGAATCCCTACGAAGTTAAATAAAATTTTAAATATTGAAGTACATGCGAAGTAAAATTTTTTAAATTGTACATATTTTTGTGTAGACTGTAAACACAAAATCGGCCATAAAATCGAGATAGTTCGTGAAATATTAAATTATTGTAAAAGAAATAATGTAGAAATATTCAAAACAAAATCAAAACTTTGATCTTAAAACTTAAAAGTTGATAAACCAAACTTAAAATTCAAGGCATTGTAATAAAAGTTGTATGTACAGAAAATAGAGATGCAAACTTACTATGATTTTCAAAACACAAAATCACAAAAAATAAAAATTATAATCATCAAGTAAACTAAACACGAATTGTTTTACATCAAAAAAAATTTCAGCCGCTTATCACAATTTTCCCAAATAATTTACGTAATAAACGTAATATATACGTAAATATAAGAACTTACATTTTATGTATTTTATCAAAATTTTATTTAACTTTTCTAAATTTCATTTGTTCTTAAATAATCATTATCTTGTTTTTCTGGTTCCTCTAAAACAGTTTCAAAAAATTCTTGAACTGTATCTGTATTCCATTTAGTTATCGATAATGTTTCCTTAACATTACCATGTTTATCTAAAAGTTTAACCATTGGATCCAATCCACGTACATATTTAATTGTAAGATTTGGAAATTTAGAAGGTCGATCACTTTTAATAAATGCCTGAATTTGTGGATAAGAACCAAATTTACATGTACATACTTCTAAAATAGCTTTAGCATATTTTTTCTCTACAGCAGCAATTTTATCTTTTTGACAACATTCCAAACAATGAGGTCTAAAATTAAGAACAATATTATTTAATGTGATATGCAAATTTTGAAATTAAATTTAATTACTTAAGTTGATCTAATCCAAAGTCATGTAATTTTTCACATGAGGAGCATAATAATTGTGATTTAATAAAACCTAATTGTTTGCAATCATTAGTTGTGAATTCAGCTAAACTGCTTCCCTGAAAATGTATTAAGTATGGAATATTATTAAGTGAATACATACAACATTAAAAGAAACAATTAAATTTTTTACTTACCACATAGATTACAAAAATTGTAAACTTTGCAATACTGTACATTCTTTAAAAATTTATTTTTGACTAATTTTTCTAATTTTTTAAATCTTTCTATTTTTTATAAAGTACGTTTTAATTAATTGATAAAATATTACTTTTTGCACTATCTGCACCAATTTGAGTAAGCGGAAAAATCAGATTAGAATATAAGATTATTTAGTTTATAAGTACATAAACAATCTTCAATTGTCAGCTGTCAAATGTCATAATACGTGTTTTATATTTATTTCATATTGTGAATTGAAAGCGCCTCTAGTATTATTATAATGAACTAATGACTTCATAAAAATTTTCCTTTTAATAGTTTTTTTGCCATACTATTTTTGAATTAGTTTTAAAATTTAAATTTTAATTGGAGATAAACATTCAAATAGAGTAAGTAATTAGATAAACTCGAATAATTGTAATTAATAGAATATACTGAATGAGAAAATCTCACTCTTCCGTGTCATAAACAAAACTGCATTTCAAGATTATGATCGCAAATTTTGTTGCGATTAAACAAAATATGAATATCTTTTCTAATTTTAATATTCTACAATAGCTAATTTGGATATCATGAACATGGAAAAACTTTTCCTTGAAAATAAGTGACTTTATCAATTTCGAGATATTATACATACTTAAAAAAAAATTTATATAGGTTTGCAACAATGTTACAATGGTTACGAAAAATATTGTGAATGAAAATTTTTTTAACATATAACGATTTTTATTTGAATACAAAAGAAAAACGGACAAAGAATAAAAATTTCTTTTAGATTTACAATAAAAAGCATTCAGTTATAAAAAAAACAATGATATTTATAAATGTAAAGCAATATATAAAGATATACAAATATTATTAAGCTGCATACAATATGCTTATTTAGAGTCGAAATTTATTGAAAACCTATGAAGAATGAAATAAACAAAAACAATGAAATTTTATAATTCTATGACTATGGAATATGTAGTTATACACATGGATTGGAAACTATAATAAAAGACAACAAAGAAACAATAAATTTATTTTAACTAATCAAAATCTAGTAAATTGCAAGCTAAAATGATAATATGCATATTAGTTTTTAGCTATTATTCAAATGTAGGTTTTGTTGTATTTTATAAGTAGGTACTTAGGCACCTACCTTTTCAAAAAAATTGATTTGAGAAATCAAATCAATAAATGTTCCATTGCTATTTGCTACTTTATAAGAACCTCCCTAAGCTTTTGTTATTATTTTGAGCTCAAAAGAAAAACGATATATGTAATTTGCTTTTAAATTGCTTGATTTTTTCTGTTGTTTTATTTTATACCTACTATTCAAAACAATAGTAAAAATCGAAAATAACTATACCTATATAATATCATATAAAATGTACGCACATTACAAGAAACATAATAAAAAAAAAATAATGTTCAAAATATATTATTAAATCTAGTTGCAAATACACTAATCTATTATCTCATTATAACTACAAGTCAGTCTTAAACTGCTAGTTACTTTTCACTTTTCAAATATTTCAGAATTATCATTTAAATCCTCCCATTCTTCCATGCTAGAATTAAGTTTTTCTTTAAATTCGGCCAAATTAATTTTTTTCAGTGCAAATCTTTTACCAAAAAGTCTTTTGATCTTTTGTCGGCGGTTTTTAATTGTTGCTTTTGTTATATTTAGACCATCGGAACATGATAAACTACGTTTTAATTTCCTTTTACCTAATAAACCTTGTTCATTTGAATTGGTCACATGGATAGGTTCTTCAAAAATCGTTTCTAAATTGGACGGTTTAAATCTACCAAGTTTTTTGCCACTTTGTATATATAATTTTTTTATAGCATTAGGAGTTAATTTTATTTCTTTTGTTAACTTCTTTGGTTTTGTTATTGTTCTATGATTTATTTTCATAATCGATTCACATGCCCGTGATCTTAATTCACGGAATTTAGTTTTAAATGGACTTTGTTCAATCTCACTCTTTCTATAATTTTCAGATTCATTTTCATCATCTGAACAGGAACTAACCGAATCTTTAAAATCCCTATTTTGTGGATGAGTATCTGATGTTGATGCTATTGAAAATACTGCTTCTGATTGGAATGTTATGGAATTTGATGATGATGATGATAATGATGATGGTGACGATGATGTTATACCATCCATTTTCAAACCAGACATAATTATTGGCAAACTTTGATAATTTAAACTAATAAAAAAGAAGAGAAAAAGTTTTATTACAATTTTGTAAAAATTTAATACACGTATATATTATATGTATAAGTACATACGTCCAACTATTGTTCTCGTCGCAAAACCTTTCCTTGCAGTTAAATAAATCTAGTTGTATTTCATTTTCCATTCTAATTTCCAAAACAAAAAATGTATTTTTTAGGTTTAATATAATGATACTCTTAAACCATTACTTTTTTTCAGGAATTGATTCTATAACAAAAATTTAATGATCACAATTACTAAATTTTTAAACTGACATATTATTATTGCTCAAATGTTTTTTTAATAGTAAAATAAATTTTGACTTCTGGCCTTCTGATAAAATGTGGCTCAGAATTTAGATGCTTGTATTTTAGTAAAATTGAATGTCAAAATTTTTTAAATATTGCCATAATACTAAAAATTTTATAATCTACATTTTAAAATTAGCTGTCGATTTAGAAATTTTTACAATTTGTATTTTGCCAGTGTTGATAAGTTCTATTGTATTTATTTCATAAAATAATAGATTTTTACTCATAAATTTGAATTCTAGATAAAAATATTTATTTATTGAAGAATATTGAATCTCGCAAAAATTTAATGTAAACTCAATTAATTCATTATTTTTGATATTTTACAGGCTTGTTGTTCCATTTGTTTGTAATGATGTATAACATTTTAAACCAGTCAGAGAATTGCAAAACTCTATAAAAAATTAGTTAAACTTATAGAAGTAAAATAATTCGATTATTTTGTAAAATAAAAAGATTAGCTAAGTTATGTAGCTTTAAGACTAGTTTTCATATAACTTAGTAGAAAAATATGTAATTTGATTAAGATGTGGTAAACATAAAAGTTGCTACTTGTTCAACTATGAATTTATATTTAATTTTAACAATGTAGTCTTGTATTTGAAGAATAACAAATTGCATAACAGCGAAATCAAGACAAAATTTTAATTAGCAAGACACTATTGCAACACTCAATTAAAATTCTGACTGAATCTAAAAGCAAAACGAGAAATGTCATAGCTATATTATAGTATTAACGGTTATCATTGCAGCCAAATAAGTTGAATATGATTTAAATTGATCTGTCAAACACAGCTGTTTACAAACTTAATTAAAAAGCAAAAAAAAAATATTTTGGGGTTGTTAACATTTTCGTATTTCATATTTAAAATTTCTTAATAAAAATTAAAAAAATGTCTGTTGTTAAATATGTTGGTAGAAAAACAGATTTCCGAGGAAAAACTCTGTGGGAAATATTAGGAAATTTAAAAAATTTTGGTGTAGGAAGGATTGTTGTCAGAAGCATGTTTGAGAGATATCCAGAACCATGTTTTTATAAAGTACTTAAAGTAGAAGCTTTACCAAATGAGGTCAGTAAATAGTTGTGTTATGATAACAGAAAATTAAATTGAAATTTTTTTACAGGAATGTCGCAAAGTAAAAGTTACAGTTGAAAAAACTTTTCGAGGTCATACTTATCCAAAACCATCTATTATTATGAGTGCATCATATAAAGCTGATTATCGTTTAATACCCAAAGATGAAGAAGCTCAATATTGTAAGATCGAAACTAAATCACCTGAAGGTGTTGTGTGTAGAGAAATGGATTTTCCACCACTGTTAAAGCAATTTATTGAAGAAGAAACCGGAATTAAAAATCCGAAACTCCCTGTACATTTCAAAGAAGGGAGAGATAAACGTTATAGACTTGCAGCTGAAGGTGAAACTCCTACAATAAAAATTGAAATGGGATTAGGAAAACCAATAAGTCCAAAATTATACGAACACTTATAATCCATATTAGAAATTTATTTACATTAAATTTTGTACATTAGTTTTTAAAAATATAGAGAAATTATAATAAAAAGAATATAACATTAATAAGTTTGGAAGATAAACTTTCGATTTTATATTCGCTATTTGAATGTTGTTAAAATGCCAGCATCATTTTAAACTTTAATATTGATGTGAAATTCAATATTTTTTATTTTATTAATCAATTACACTTAAACTGAAACATGAAACAAATACCTAAAACATTATAACCATTCATTTATATAATGTAATGGCACTTAACTGATAATAATCTAATTATAATAATAAATGAATAGTGGAATATATAAATATATTTAGTATATATTTTCAGTCTATTTCTTTTGCTTTTGCAATTCTCTAGTTAACTTATCCACTTCAAGACCAAGAACATCCAAATTTTCCTAAAACAATTATTTTAACATATAAAAATTACTTTTTTTTATTATTTTGAATATACCTTTAAAGTAATATTTTTTAATAATGTGTCTTCGAGTACTGCTTGCAGTTTTTTATTTATTTCAAGAGATAACTCTAAAGTCATACTTGTATGGTTTGCACCTTTTATACCACCATAAATTGCTGACATAACACCTCCATATTTTGCTAATTCTGTTTTATTTTGATCGCTTTTTGTTGAGGTCAATGCACCAACCTGATCTCTTACCATATAATACTGTATTAATTTCGATTTCTTTTGTAATTCAGCAACTAATTGCATTGTATGATTCTCCAAAAAATCAATTTTTTCTGTTTGACGTGCAGCTGCTTTTTGAAGTTTTAAGATTCTATTTACCAGATATTCTTTTGATGGTTCCTTAAAATTATATGGTTTCAAGTTAGATATTTTGCTATATAAAAATTCATAAAAAAATTCTAACCATTGGTAGTTGTCCTAAAGATGAATTACTTTGCACATCAGATTCACTATCACTTTGTTGACTTTGACTGCTGCTTAGTGTTGACTGATGTAGATTAATTTTATCGTTATTTAACAACTCATCACGATTTATCTCTTTATCATTACTATTATTAACACAAGCTGTAGAAATTTCAGCCATTTCATTTACTTTACATTGATTTTCTTCATAAAGTCTTTTGTATTTATGAATTTCTCTATTTAATTCCTAAAATGCAAAACAGACTATACTTTCAGAATTCCAAAGTTAATATTTTATATTCACCTTAAATATTTGCGAATGTTTCTTTTTTGTTGCATCTAAATCACCAAGAGCATCTTCTAATTTGATTTTAACATTCTCGTATAATTTTGTTTTTTCAGATAAATGCTTAGAAAGAAGAAGCCGTTCTTCATTTCGTTGTTCAATCTCTTTATTCAAAGAAGTTTGAAGAATATCATATTTCGTATCGAAATCTTTCTTTTCTTTTTTTATTATTTCATACTGAGTTTCTGCTGCTAATACCTTTGAATTTTGTAATAATATATGATTTTGTAAATTTGCAATTTTTTCACTCATTTCTTTATTAACACCCAAAAATTCCTTTTCCTTGTCTCGTAAATGTTGAATTTCATGAGAACAATCTTTAAGTTTTTCCTCTAATTCAGACACGGTATCATTTAAGTTGGAAATTTTTTCTTCATTTCTAAAATAAAAAATAAAATATTTGCATATTCTTAAAGCAAAAGGAAGTGAGCATTTATTTTTAATGGTTTACATAGTATTTCGAGCTTGTAAAACATTTAATTCTTCCAACTGTCCTCGTAATTTAGCAGAATTAAGCATTTCTTTACTCAATGCATTTTGTACAGATGTATGCTCTTCTTTTAATTTTTCTAATTCCGTAAACAGTGAATTTTTCTGCGAATTCAAAATTATTTTGAATTGTTTAGTACATATAAGAAACTTTTTAATAGAATTACCTCTAAAATTTCTTTACTCAAATTTTCTTGTAAACTTAAAATTTTTTCCGAAAGAGATTTATTTTCTTTTTTAAAACTATCTAGTTGCTTATCTTTTACATCTACGTCATGTTTTAATAAAATCATTGAAGCCTCATTTTCGATTCGTTTTTGCTCTTTAAATTTCAATTTCAATTTATCAAATTATTGAAAATTATACATAATTAAAATAATGTAAATACTTCTACCTGTATTTTTCTCTTCTGCCCTCGGTCCAAACTTTTCTTCCTCTAGTTTCTTCTCAAGAGCCTAAAATTAAAATTGATATAATAAAAACTCAGTTCTAAATATGATAAATTAGAGTTCTAGCATACAATTTTCGCATCAGTTTCTTGATTTAATTTTAATGTATTCCATTTCAATTTTGTTTCTAAATTACTAACATCTGTCTTCAATTTTTCTATTTCTTTTTGATGTTTTCGTATATCAAGGCACTTTTCAAATACAAAAAAAAAAAAACAAATTAATTTAAAAACTTTTGTATTTGAACGCGTTCCTATTTACCTTCTCCTCCAGCATATATTGAATTCTTGATTTTTCCTCATTTAATATCTGATATTTTCCTGTAATATTCTTAATCTCTTTTTTAGCTTCACTTAATTGTTTCTCAGAGTGCTCCGTCTCTTTTTTGGCATCAATCAAAGCTTTCTCATTGCTAGCAAAACGTAAAACTATGGTTTCCTTTTCTTTAATTGCTAAATCTGCTTGCTTTTTAAGCTAGAATTAGGAAAATTTATATAAAAACTAAAATTTTTGTTAGTAATTTTTAATTACCGCATTTTTCTCCTTCTCTAATATAGATTTTTCTCTGTCATAGAGAGCAATTATGTTGTCTTTTTGATTTAATGCTAGTTTCAGTTGTTCTAGAAATTTTTCATAATTATTTATTTTTTCTGTTGCTTGACTTAATTCTTCTTGATAATTCAAGCTTATTATACTGTCTACGTTTTCATGATCCTCCTTCTGATTTTTCTCTACAATATTTTGCACAAGTTCCGGGCTATTGTTTGAAGTATCAATGTTTTCGAGTTCTGACACAATATTGTCCTCATTTAGTTTTATATTTTCTACATCTTCAACAATTTCTCTATTTTCTTCTGATTCCATTTCATATTACAAATTACATTAACATAAAATTATTTTACAAAAAATTACAAGATTGTAAAAAGCTCTAAATCCAACATCAACAACTATGCAAACTTTCCTGTCAATTTCAATTTCAAACAAAGTTGCCAGATCGAAAAGTTATAGACAACATAAAACTATTATTAAGATTTTAATAGAATAGCAGAGCTTAGCATGAACTTCGTCAACATTTAATATCTATTGTGAATCTAATTTATAGTTGGCACTACTGAATACTGATTGTTTTGAAATATGACATTATATATATATATATATATATACTTCAAAAATGAGAATAATTGACATTTGTAATTTTATTTAACCATAAATTGCAATTTCGTTACTGATTGCCGGGTTTAGCTTAAAAATTAATCAATAACTTTTTTTTTCATATTATCTTTGGCTTTATTCCATAAATATGACAGCCTTCGAAGAATTTGGTGTACTCCCTGAAATCGCTAAAGCTGTAGATGAAATGGAGTGGAATTTGCCAACAGATGTTCAAGCCGAAGCAATACCACTTATATTAGGTGGAGGCGATGTTTTAATGGCCGCTGAAACTGGATCTGGGAAAACTGGAGCATTTTGTTTACCAATTGTGCAAATAGCATGGGAAACTATACGCGATATAATGGAAGGAAAGGAAACAAAATCAAATTCGCAAGGTGCTATAGTACCGTGGACTATGTCATTTTTTGATCGAAGTAGTGCTTTAGCTGTAACGCCAGATGGGTTGAGATGTCAATCTAGAGAATTCAAGGAATGGCATGGATGCCGTTCTACCACTGGAGTTCAGGGATCTGGAAAATATTATTTTGAGTCTGTTGTTACAGATGAAGGCCTTTGCCGTGTTGGCTGGGCTACTACACAAGCTAAATTGGATTTGGGAACTTGTAAATACGGTTTTGGATTTGGAGGTACAGGGAAAAAATCCAACAACAAACAATTTGATGATTATGGAGAAGCTTTTGGTATGCAAGATGCCATTGGATGTTGTCTAGACTTAGACAATTTTGAAATCCGATATACAAAAAACGGTGTTGATTTAGGTACAGCCTTTCGTATTGAAAGAAATTTACAAAAGGAAGCTTTTTATCCAGCTGTTGTTTTAAAAAATGCTGAGATGTCATTCAATTTCGGAAAGACTGAATTTAAATATCCTCCCCCAAAAGGTTACGTGGCTATTTGTAACGGTGAGCAACGAAACGTGAAAATAAATCCACTTGCTTCATCGACTGCCAAAAGTGAAGACAATAAAATCAAGCCAAATGCTCCTCAAGCAATTATTATTGAACCAAGTCGTGAATTAGCTGAACAAACTTGCAATCAAATAACTAAATTTAAGAAACATTTGAAGGATCCTGCTTTGAAAGAATTATTACTAATCGGTGGAGTAAATGTAAAAGACCAATTGGCACAACTGCAATCTGGAGTAGATATAATTGTTGCGACTCCTGGACGTTTAGAAGATCTTATAGGAGGGGGGCATGTTTCATTAACGCATTGTCGATTTTTCGTTTTAGATGAAGCTGACGGGCTTTTAAAGCAAGGTTATACAGACTTGATTGATAGGCTACATAAACAAATCCCAAAAATTACATCTGATGGTCGACGTCTTCAAATGATTGTATGTTCTGCAACATTACATAGTTTCGAAGTAAAAAAATTAGCTGAAAGATTAATGTATTTCCCTACTTGGGTTGATTTGAAAGGTGAAGATGCTGTTCCAGAAACTGTACATCATGTGGTAGTAAAAGTTGATCCACAAGTTGATTTGCTTTGGCAAAATCTTCGTCAGCATGTTCAAACAGATGGAGTACATGCAAAAGATGATGTTCGTCCTGGGGTAAGAACACCAGAAGCTTTCTCTGAGGCAGTGAAATTGCTTAAAGGCGAATATTGTATTCGTGCAATTGAAGAACATAAAATGGATAGAGCCATTATATTTTGCAGGACGAAATTAGATTGCGATAATTTAGAAAGATATCTTAAGCAACGTGGTGGTAACAAATATTCTTGTGTATGCTTGCATGGTGATCGTAAACCGAATGAAAGAAAGGCTAATTTAGAGAAATTTAAAAGAAAAGAAGTGAAATTTTTGATATGCACCGATGTTGCAGCTAGAGGTTTAGATATTACTGGATTACCCTATATGATTAATATAACTTTGCCAGATGAAAAATCCAATTATGTGCATCGTATAGGTCGTGTTGGTCGTGCTGAACGTATGGGTCTTGCTATAAGTTTCGTTTCGACAGTACCAGAAAAGGTTTGGTATCATGGAGAATGGTGTGCTTCACGTGGTCGTAATTGTTGGAACACAAATTTAACTGACAACGGCGGTTGTTGTATTTGGTATAAAGAAAAAAATTATTTAGCTGATATTGAAGAACATTTAAATGTCACTATTCAACAAGTTGATACTGATATTAAGGTTCCGGCAAATGAATTTGATGGAAAAGTGGTATATGGACAAAAACTATCAAATAATCAATCAAATTATCAAACTCACGTAGATCAATTGAAACCAGCTGTCATGAAATTAAGTGAATTGGAATTGAAAGCGCAAACTCTTTTCCTTAAACATGCAGGCTTTTAAGGAAAGAAGATTACTGGGATCTCATAAAAATTGTAATTTTAATTTTTTCATATATCATTAAATTTTAGCTAACCGGCAGAAGATCCAAAAAAAAATTTATTTCTTTCTATTTATTTCTCTCCTACTAAACAATTTGGTTATATAAACGGGGGATTTGTTAGACCGAATTCGGATGTAAATCCGTAATAACTGCTAAGTATAGAATTGTAATATGTAAACTTATTTTTCAATATTGTGTATTAATAAAATTGCTAATTTTTAAATTTTCAAATTTACATACCGTAAAATGAGTTTTATTTCATGCATTTTTAATAGCCAATAATTAGGAATACCCAAGTTGATCCCCTTATATTATTCTCATATTATAATCCTTTATAAATTTCATCCTCATCTGATAAATTTTTAGAAAAGACAAATCTTGCTTTTAATGTAAACAAAAAATAACATTTGTTATTAAGTAATTACCTCAATAATGTTTTTTACCTGTAATGTTATCTTCAATCATGTAAGAGCTTTCGAGTGAGCTTTCATTGTTTTTATTTAGTTAACAGAAAAACATTCATTTTTTCGTTAAAAAAAGGTAAAATTTCGTTAAAAAGCTTTTAACACGATTTAATTAATTTCAACTTGACTATCATACTTCATAAATTAATTTTACGTATTAATTCTGCATTATAACTGGTGGAAGTAATCTTGTCATTTGGTTATTTTATTCAGAATATTGTTTAATTTTCTTAATATATTTTATTTTTACAATAATGGCGGAATCAGTACCTTTAGTAAAACAAAATGATGGCATCAAAATACCGGCGTTAGGATTAGGAACATATACTGTAAGTGAATCTTATTTACATTTTTTTTACTAAATTTTTTAAAAAACCAAATTGTGATTTGTATTTTAATTATTGCTAAAAATATGTATGTACATATGTACAGTATGTATATACTTTTCCATGCATTCCATTACGAATAATATGGATTTAAAACTTGTTTTTGAATAAAGTTAGATTCTACGATATTCTGACAATAATATGCAATTAATTACATACAATATGCATCCGTAATATAAATTTATATTAGAACACATTAGGTATCTATACTTGCATACATTCACATGCATATGTATATATATGTAGTTATAAGAATGTTTTCAATGTGAATTTCTTTAGAGTAACCTTGAAAATACTATATACATAATATGTACATGCAAAATAAACCTATTCAATGATAAGAGTGTTTATTGAAGATGATAATATTATAAGGGGGTGCGGTAAATATGTTTTAATTTTCTAAAATTGTTAACAGCAAGGTATTAAATTACATTTTAATATTTTAAGTTTTAAACGTTATGTAATATGCGGATAATTTGTTGTTTTTCATTTTTATACTATATAAATAAGTACCTAGGTAGGAGATAAGTACATATCTTCCTACATTATCAGAGAATTTTTTGAATATTAATTGGTTTAAACAATCGCTTTAAAAATTAAGTATGTTTTATCTGAATTATTTCGTTAGTTATCAACAATTAATGTTCATATGTATGTTTTTAGGTTTGTAGGTAGCCATTTATAAGTTTACAAATTCACAAAAAATTATTGCTACTATTTATTAAACATAGTTTTTGTTTTTCTTATGTACCTAGTCTTTTTTCCAATAATATCCCTAACCTTGCACAAGTAAGACAGTTCTAAATACATACATATGTAATTATAATAATTTTATTATTAATATATGTACATACATATATACATATCTACCTATCTACCTACTTATCCACATATTTTTAGTCTACTGGTGGAGATTGCGAAAGAGCAGTAAAAGATGCAATTGATTTGGGGTATCGTCACTTTGATACCGCATATTTCTATGAAAATGAAGCCGAAGTTGGTGCAGCTGTTCGAGCTAAAATTAAAGAAGGTGTCATTCAAAGATCTGATGTTACAATTGTCAGTAAGGTAAGTATAAATATCTAAGTATTTGAACATCATAAAAATAAATTTTATTTTCTATCTATTTTAAGCTTTGGTGTCACTTTCATGATCCAGAAAGAGTTGAAGATGCTTGTCGTAAATCTTTGAAAAATTTTGGTTTAGATTATATTGATGTTTATTTAATGCATTGGCCATACGGTTATGAATATCAAGGAGATAAAGTTATGTTTCCTACAGATACTAGTGGAAATGTAATATTAAGGTTAATCTAATTGCTGTACTATTATAATGCATTATTATTATAATAAGTTTTCTGACAGAAAAAAAAATTATAATTTTCAGTGATGTTGATTACGTTGACACTTGGAAAGCTATGGAAAAATTAATTGATTTGCGTCTAGTTAAAAGTATTGGAGTTTCTAATTTTAATAGTGAACAATTGACAAGATTACTTTCTGTTGCTAAAATTAAACCAGTTCATAATCAGGTTTACTAAATTTTTACAAGATTGTTAGAAGTTTTTTTTATTTACCTATCTAATTTTTCAATTAACAGATTGAATGTCATCCTGCTTTAAATCAAAAGAAATTAATTAAGTTTTGTAAAGAACGTGATATCATTGTTACTGCTTATTGTCCATTAGGAAGACCAGATCCAGCTAAAAAGACGCCTAACTATATATTCGATGATAAAGTTAAAGAAATTGGTGAAAAATATAACAAGACCGCTGCACAAATCGTTTTAAGATATCTAGTATGTAAAATTATGAAAAAATGTCAAAATTCGATAAAATTTAATATTTAATTTTGATTAAAAAATAATAATAACAATTTCAGTACGAAATTGATGCTGTACCTATTCCAAAATCCGTAACCAAGGAACGTATCCGCCAAAACATTGATATTTTTGATTTTAAATTAACGGATGAAGAGCATAAAATTTTGGACTCATATAATACCGGTGAAAGGTTAATTCCAATGGATCATGCTAAAAATAGCAAATATTATCCTTTTAATGTTGAATATTAAATATGTACCTGGATATGTACACATGCATGTATGTACGAAATACAGTTATATATGAAGGAATACATAATATAGACCCACATACATACATACATATCAATTTGAAAAATTGTACAAGTTTTTTATATCAATTTGAAATCAAAATTTTGTTATGAACAATAAATATTTAAGTACTTATTAAAAAAGGTTTTTTCATTGAAAAATCTTGATTTATTGACTCGTTTGTTCAGATTTTTCTACGAAATTTTAAAATTATATAGGTTGGGTATGAAATATTTTGGTTTACCAACAAAATTTAAGCATATTTTTGATTTTCTGTCAATTCTACAATTTTATAACAGTTTGGCAGCTCCCCGCAAAAATAATTTACTTTGAATTTTTTACTATAAATGTCAAGTTCTAGTTTCATATTTTGAATTCTTTGGAAGTTTTAAATAAACATCATAAAATGTTATCCTTACAATGGTAAGATAAGAAAGCGAAGTGATTACTAATTTATATTTTATAAACAACTTAAATGAACAGTCATTAATATATCTTTAAATTTGAATTTGATAAACATATCTATTAATAGATAGAATTTTTTTATTGAGATAATTATTAATTGATTTTTTTTGTTGTTATTATAAAAACAAGTTTGATTTCAAATATTTTTCATTTATTAAAATCAGAATTACACAGTTCCAAATACTTATATGCTTAATCATAAAGAAGAAAATACTTTAGTTATAAAATCATTCAAATTTCTTAAAAAAAAAAAAATTAAAAATTATTAAGTGACAAAATTGTGACGTTTAGTTGAGACAGTTTATTTCAGCTGTTTTTTATTTGATGGGAACTCTTTTAATTTTAATTTTTATCAATTTGGCAATTCTCGCATTAATATTTTTAGTGCACTTTTTTGTTTTAGCCAGAGCATTTCGAATTGGATTTTGAAATTTCCGAAATATCATAAAACAATTATTGCTAAAAACAAATTTTGGACATTTGGCTCGAATCCAATACATACGTTTGAACGAATTTCAACTAAGGAAATATTGAATATTCCAAAAAGTGTTACATCAATTCAGTGCAAATTTTTGAGCAAAATGAGTTCTAGTGGAGCACAAAAATCTGAATATTTAAAAGCACCAAAAATCAAATTAAATAATGGTTTGGAGATGCCGGTTTTTGGTCTTGGTACGTACAAGGTAAGTTTAAAAAAAAAAATTCATCTAGCAATATGTTTTAAACCCGTGTAACCAAACGTGATTATGTATGTATGTATACAAATATGTATGAGTGTGCATTTATGTACATATATGGATATGTTTGCATATGCATGTAATTAGTTGAATAATGAAAGAACAAAAACAAATATTTAAAGTCGTTGTAATTTTTATGTGAAAACTTAAATTTAGTTGTAACTTTTTGTCATTATGCCACGGCTGACAGAAATACTGATAGAATTTGAAAATTCATTCAAAAATATTTAAATCAGGAACACAATTCCACTCTACTGATAAGAAAATTATAAACATAACCTTATAGCAATATCTGTAGAAATATGAAAATCTGATAAATTTAATCAGTGTTACAGAAAATCATCACCTTTATTAGTAAATATGATTTTGTTTACTTAACTGTCTAATATTATTATGGTTCCTGATGAGTATTTTCATGCTCCCGTTATTCCTTATTGCATTTCTTATTTTTATATATTTTTGGAAAATATTTTAAATATAATTAAACAAAATACAAAGATAATATTTATTTGTAATTCTTAAATTAATTTAATTCTGTAGAGTTTGGAAAATGAAGGAGAAGAAGCTGTAAAATATGCCATAGATTTAGGATACCGACATATCGATACAGCATTCTTTTATGAAAATGAAGGAGAAGTTGGTAAAGCAGTCCAACAAAAAATTGCTGAGAATGTTATAAAAAGGGAGGATATATTTATAGTAACAAAGGTTTGTAAATTTTAATAAGTATTAAATAATTTATTTTTTATTTAATCCATAATTTATTTTAGTTGTGGTGTACATTCCATGAACCACAAAGAGTTGAATATGCCTGCAAAAAATCATTAGAGAATCTTGGATTAGATTATATCGATCTTTATCTAATGCATTTGCCAGTTGGTTACGTTTATATAGATGATAAAACTTTACTCCCTAAGGATGATAACAATAAATTAATGCTAAAGTAATTTATTTATTATTTATATGTTTTATTAACTTTATATTTTTAATTAATATTACATATTTTTTTTGTTGCATTTGATAACAGTGATGTGGATTACTTAGATACTTGGAAAGCTATGGAAGATTTAGTTAGAAAAGGTTATGTTAAATCAATAGGGATATCAAACTTCAATAGCGAACAGATTGAAAGACTACTTAAGAATTGTGAAATCAAACCAGTTACCAACCAAGTAAATACTATAATAATTTTAATTTCAAATAAAATTTATTTTTTAAATTTTAATAAATTTTTAAATAGGTTGAATGTTGCCCTACATTGAATCAAAAGAAATTGATAAAGTTTTGTTTGGAACGTGATATAACATTAACTGCTTATTGTCCACTAGGTAGACCAAGACCTGATGAAAAAAAACCAGATTTTTTGTATTCGGAAGATACTTTAAATATAGCTAAAAAGTATAATAAAACACCAGCCCAAATCATTTTAAGATATCTAGTAAGTTTTATCTCTTGAAATCGCAATCGTCTTCTATTGTTCGGGAATATTCTATATACATATGAATTTTATATTATAAATCTTTATTGAAATTTGCTTAAAATTTTATTTTTATACAACAAAACTGTTTTGATATTTTTTGGTTTTGATTCTCATATACATATAAATTTTAAAAATTAAAATCCTAATTTCTGTTTATTTAAAATTTGCTTGTCAGCTAGCATTTGTTTTATTTAAAGGCATACATGCAACGTCTTTAAATAACATAGATGCTAGATAAAATTTACAATTTTATTTTTAGACATATTTAAACAGCTATCCACATATTTTATAATTACATATTTTTTTTACAGATTGATATTGGCACCATTCCAATACCGAAATCATCTAATAAAGGAAGAATATTAGAAAATTTTGATATATTTGATTTTAAATTAAATGATGATGATATTAAAATAATTGATAAATTTAATACTGGAGAACGTTTGGTTCCATTTGATTTAATAAAAGGGCAAAATCATAAATATTTTCCATTTAATATTGAATTTTAAAAATTCGTAGAAAAATTTTGTTTTTATAGAAATGTTAAAATCAAAGTAATTATTGTAAAGAAATTTTGTTATATATGATTTAACATGAATTGATTCTTAAATTAAATATAAATTTTATAGAAAAAATATATGCATGTACATATTTTATATGAAATATTTATTAAAAAAAAAATGTTATACAACACAATGTAATTTTATTTAATATAAGAATCTTATACTTATATTTGATTTTTTTGAGTAAATAATATTTTAGCATTTTCTTCAGAAATGATTTTGTTAGAGCAAAATAAGGGATAATTTTTTGCTGATTTCCTTACTTTCAATTAAACTAATAAAAATTAATTTTTTAGGTATAACAAGTGTTTGGGTGATTTAATTAACTCCGATATCACTTATTTTATAATTTTTAAAATATCAACATCGCAACACTTAAAAGATTTATCCTACATTTTTATATTATTTTTAATCCATTTTATTGAAATTTAATGATATTTAATCACACTTAAGTTCAACTTTATATATAATAAAAAAAAAAAGTTTTCTTACGTTTTATACTCCAAAAATGCTGATATATTCAAACTTTCAACACATTGTTTCCCTTCACAAATAAAGCATTGGCAATTGGCATTTTTGATTTCCCTCATAGAGCTTGCCTCGCCTGATTTGTTATCAACTAACGTCATCATCAGAAAATTAAAACTTGCTCAATTTGTCTAGTTCATTCGATATTGAACATATAAAATAAAAACCCTACCTTTCCGATTTTTATTACTACGAATAATATTTCAATTATTTAAGAATATTAAAGTTCATTGCGACGATTTTTTGTTAAAAATCTTTTCAATAATAAAATATACATATATTTCCAGATCGACAACATAAAATTACATTTTGGAAAATATTCATCATAATAATGACTCTAATTAAACATTATTTAGAATTTAAAAATTAAACAGTAACATTATCAAACTCAATTATCATAATCACATTCCATTTTATATTCATAAATACATACAATTTATATTTATTATTTTTCTAAATATAAAGCGGAAATATTCGATTACAACTTATTATTTTATTAAATAAATAATTTTAAATGTACTTGAAAAGGTCTTCACTTAAACATTAAAATTGGGTCAAATACAAAAAAAAAAAAAAGCATACATTATAAATGAATGAAGATTTGAAGAGCTATTGACTCTATTATTACAATGTATTATATAATAGCAATGATAATTAAGCCTCCAAAATCAAACAAGATAAAAATATTGAACTTTTCCTTATAAATTTTCTTTTGTTTTTGCTCTTTACCAATAACGGTTATTTTAGTTTTTTTTTTCGTATTTGTTTTTGTTTTTTTTTTCTTGAATACTAATTTTAAAGTTCTCAATAAAAAGGCAAACAACCTACACCAATATTATTATTTTGATTTATTATTTTTTTTTTTTTGTTTTTCTTATTTTTTGATTAAATTAAGAATTCAGTATTATTATAAATGTATTAAATTTTTGTTTCACCTGTGATGTTTAATAAAGGTGATAGCACACTATATCTTTTGGAATAAAACTTGTTCGTTACATAATCGTAAAATTTCAGCTTAATTTTCTTACAAAAATCTACCAATACAAGTAAATATAGCAATAACGTTTTATTGTTTCTTATATACACGATTTTAATCTTTATTGAAATTTAATAAAAAAATCATAATTACATAATAGCTACATAATTCATAAGGAATATTATTTTAAAAAAATTTAAGTTACCAAAGTGTTACCAAATTGAATAGTAAGCAAATTAACAAAGTTTCTACAATATTGAAATTATATTAATTCCAATATCGTTTATAATGTCGTTTCCATATCAGCAACTACATATCAATAATTAATTAAATTTTTTTTTTTGTAATACTTTAAAGAAATACTGTGTGTTATTTCAATGTCCGATTTAACTAGCAATTACAATACAAGCATCGTACTTACACGAATTGCATAAAGTATTTCAAAAAATATGATCTAGAGTCCTGTACAAAAAATATATTCCCTATTAAATTAGTTTATTAGATAAGTTTTTATATTAAATTCTTATATAAGACTTTTATTTAAATATATATCAATTTAAAAATATATATCAATCAAGACAGAATACAAAAAGATTAAGATTTCTATTAGTAATTTTTGTGTGGAAAAATAATAACCCATTAAAAAACGAATCCGAAACTTAAATTTGTTATTAAATTTTTACAATACCTACTCAAAGCCATTGTGTACTCATAATAAAATAATAAAATACCTACTCAAAGCCTACCGTGTACTCATAATAAAATAATTAATGCTTAATAAGCCAATGAGTAAGGCAAAAAAGTAAATAAACCTACACATATTTTTTTTTGTGCAATTGAACGCCTTTAAATTTAGGTTTTAATAAAATTAGTTAAGATAAAATATTATTAATTAATGTATGAGTAAGAGTAAGATCAATTAATTAATTTTAATCTTTCAATCTAATTTTAATTGAATAAAGTGCAATTTTACATAATCGAATTACCAAAAACAAAAAAAAAATTATTTTGTAGCTGCCATTCCTATACTTTATTGAACTAAAATTGTAAAACAATAAACATTGAAAAAAAAAAATGCTACATTTTATTAGACCAATGTGTTTTCACCTTAATATTAGAAAAAGCAAAATATCAACAATATACATACCTATTAATTAATAGCACCAATAATGTGTGCATAAAACTTTCTAAGTTGTATTTACATAAGCATAACATACATACATGCATGTGTGTATCTTTTAAAAAAAGTGCAATATTATGACCATGAACTCAATTGGAAATGACAAATTATTTAATATTTTTTTTTTTATTTTATTTCTTTTAAATCTTCATTTTACCGGTTTATTGAAAAAAGCAATAAAAACACACACAAACACATACAATTTATACCGAAAATAACAAAAAAAAAAAATACGGAATTAAAGTGCGCTTGTCCATCTCAAAGTGAATTTTAAATATCATCAAAATTTTTCAAATTTATTTTAATAAATTTCAATGAGTATTACAATTTAACCTACGTCTATTATGCTCAATGAAAATTATTTTGTACAATAAATCAAATTTATATACATAATTAAATTTGACTAAAAATAATGTGGAGAAGTAAGAAGAAAAATAAATTGAAGTTTTTAATATTCAATATGTTCCATTATTATGCGCAGTTTAACGCAATTTAACGCACTCTAACGTAATTTAACGCAATTTAACGCAATTGAACGCAATTGATTTTGGTTTAAAAACACAAAAGTCTTATACATAATTTAAATTTTTTTGGAACATAAGCACATACAGAATTTTTTTTTGGAAAAATATAACAGTTCAACTTTAATTATTAATTAACATTAACTTGTTGAAGAAAATGAAAAAATTTGTTCAGAAATTTATATTTTAAATATTATTGTAATTTTTTAATATTTTGCCTAAAGCCTACTACCATAGGAATTATTTTCAATGTTAATTATTTTTTATTATCATATTGGAAATTTTTTATACCAATTGATAATATAGGTTAACTTTCGAATTCTAATTGTATACCATTATACATGTATGTATACTCAAATATATATATATATATATAGGTTAAATTATCCAGTTTATTTTTAAAGACTGGTTACTATTTCTAATCTTAAATTTAGAATGTCAAAACCTGTAAAGTATTTCCTTTTTTTTTGTGCACGCATTGCATTGTATACCTATCAATTGTCAAATAAACTGAGGCCGTATTTTATATATGTACATGGGTGCGTATTTTCCAGAATAATTGTCATACGATAAAAAAAACTTTATTCACTATATTATTATTTTAGTTAGTTTTTACATACATATACCTGAATAAATATTTTAAAATAATAAGAGATTATTGTTTAATTTATTGTAATTTTTGTTTTGACATATTTCCGACAAATTATACTAAATACATGAATATATAATATTGAACAAAATTAATAATATAATTTTTATGGTAGCATGTTAAGGCTATTTAAAAAAATTAGTTTCCATTTTGTCAAAATAAAATTTCTTTCCTTGTTCATTATCAAGTAATATTGCTTTAATTCTAATACATTAAAAGTAGCGCATAGTCACGCCAATACCTGAAAAATCTCTGAGTTCGTATTATAAACTTAAACCAAAAAAAAATATGTCTCATGACGATAAGTCAAAAAAATTGTGTTAAAATTTTTAATAAATCATAATTTTTATGAATTGATGGTGATATTGAAATGCATAGTTTTTCCAATATTCCCGAGATTCTATATTTAATTTAAATAATTTTTCGATCCCCTATTATGGAACGCTTGAAAAAATGGGTAATTGTTTTAAATTCTTAAATTATAATGGAAGGTTTTGTTATGAAAATTGATATCGTACTTTGTCAGAATAAATTTCCGAGGTGGAAGTACGACAAAAGAAAATGCCTAAAATTGTGAATATGCGTCTTCCAAAATACGTCATTTATAATTAATATTTATTTATTTTTTCTTAAATTTAAAATATTACATAAAATTTTTATTTTGGATTTCTCTATTTATAATATTGTATATATATATATATATTTTATTTGCAGGCACATAAAATATTTGAAAAATAAATCCATATCGAGAGAATTTTAATATATTTGCAAAGTTTTATATTCTGCTTTTAAATTTTCAAAATTAATTATATTAAACAATAAAAAATGTACAATAATTTTAAAAATCAAAATAAATAAAAAATCCGGAAAGAGATGAATTGTGTTGCAAATATAAAAATAATATTTGAACATTATACATTATATTAATGGTAATTATAATTGGTTCATTAAGATGATAAATGGTAATAAAAAAAAAAATTATATTATTTTTAAAATATTAAAAATTTTTATTTCTTCTATGCTTAATTTTTTCGGCAAAACATAAAAATCAGCTAACCGAAATAAAGGCAACTTATAACGTATACTTTGTTTTTTTAAATACAGAGGGTGTTCATTTGCTAAATTCTTTAATTGACCT